GACTACTTTGTCGATCATCTTGGTACTTTTCTGGACCTTGAACGTGGTAGTTACATTGCTGTCTATGGGAGGGTCAGAGAGCCCTCAGATTTCATCAGAAATATCTTAAATTGTGTTCCGAAGATGAACGAAGGTCTTACGGGTTTCGAACAACACGAGGGTGAGTAATTAATGACAGAATTTTCATTTTTGGGTGAACTAACCCTTTAAATTTAACTCTCTATTTAAATCTTAGTGTCTTTTTAACAGGGTACATACCAATATTGTATCCTGAAACAAATGTAGTACTACAGGCTTCTTCAAACAGTCAATGAAAGAGTGACACAAAAATAATTGCCTTGCTTTATTTTATCAAACAACGGTAGGGTTTTAAGGTTAGAATGACTGCAAAAATTCAAAAAATATTTTATTTTAGTAATGTAAACTTTTAAGGTTAGAGTTAATTCAGTTAGTGCATTATTACAAAAAGTAAATGTCAAATTGTATTGTTATATTTTATACTCAGCTGACCAAATGTCTAACACACTGTCAAAGATTGTCAGTCTTCATAGTGTGCACAGCTTTCCATGCTGTCCACAGAGCAACCCCCCTTTCTGATCACCCAACTGTCCTTGATTTTCACAACTAGTGTCTTCTGATCAGGTCACAGCATAACAACAGTCTTTAAGAAGTGATGGACACCATGTTGTTAGGGCTGAGAATCTCAATCCAGTAACCATCAGGATCCTGAATAAAGGCCAGGCCCTTCATTTTACCTGCAAGTAATAAATAAATATTAAATAAATTGCCAGTAAGTATTCCTTTAAGTTTATTTATTCAGAGACATTCGGTCTTTGGAGATCAAAGAGAGTTATTTTGCATTTTTAATCCAATTGTATTTATTTTAAAAGGGGTCTTTGTATTGTATGTATACAGAAAATGTGCATACTGTGCACAGTACATATGCTATATAATGCAGAAATAGTAAGAGTAGTATGATATTATGCTATTGCCCTGATGACTTTTGTTCTGCCCTGATGACTTTTGTTCTACCCGCTTAAATGATAGAAGTACTTGCGCTGTCCAATCTATAAAGACTGTGTCTGTTCCCCGAATAGTGAGGTCAAAATATAAATTTAATGCAGGATCTAGAAAAAATCTGATCGTGATTAAACCAGAACAATTTAAAATAACAAACTCTCAACATGGAGAAATAGCACGAGTAAAACCTGGAAACACTGGACTGGTGCCACTAACAGTAAGCTATCGGAGAGAGCTGCGGGGTCACAGAAGAGAAAAAAAACAAAATATGTTTTTGTTAAATCATAGTCTATATGACTATGCCATTCCTGTGAGGATAATTAAAATTTAGGCTATTAGTTTAGGCTACTCCTCATTGAGAATGTTTTTTTTAAGTTTTTTTTTAAACGGGTCTATTAATTTATACAATTGAATTATAGACCTATAATTAAAATTATTAACACTGCAGTCATCGATGAAAATTAAGAGCAGCTTTATTTCGTGCACAGATTTTCAAAAACAACCGGTTTAATGCGAAATAAGTTTCTTCTCATGTTTTTCACAATACGGGCCACAAGAGAAATATTAAGGGAATCATTTAAGACAGTTATACCATCATCAGCCTATACTGAAGTAATTTTGTCTCAGAGAATATGCGCCGTTAATGCAGCGTTAGAAAGCTCCGTCAGTTTTTTTTACTTTCACTTTCTCTAGTGAATTTACTGACGTTCACCGGCATAACTCTTGCGCACAGTTTACACGCGTTGCTTGCTTGTGTTGCTTGACCCCGCCCCCATAATATCAATCGTTTATAGGCCACATATTAGGCATTTTTTTTTTATGTTTATTTTTTTAATGTTAATGAAAGTGACACCAAAATTAAGGGAACATCATTAGGAAATCCTTGGGGGGGCTGTGCCCGGGCTAAGCAAGTTTCTGATGGGCCCCGTCAAGCTCCGCCCTAGCGCCGACACTGATTAGCCTAATTCGTTTTGGCTTGTTTAGCAACTTATATTATTCATTCTTGTTTTCTTCTGAAACCGTTCAAATTTGCCAATAGGCTAGGTATTGGGTTTATTGTTTGTACATTAGAACATTTCGCTTTATTTACCGGTGTTATTTATGAATGTAATAATGTGGCTTCTGCTTATCTGTGTTTAACCTAAACTACAACGTAACATTAATGTAGACCTACATACCGGCATCTAAATATGATTTTATAATTGTATGCTATATAGACCTACCACATTACCCTCCACTGGGTGTAGAATGAGCAGCAATAAACTACATTTTGGCATTTTATAATACTTCTGTGGATATTTTGGTGAAAGTAACTCAAAAGTAGTGTAACGCATTACAATTCAGAGACAGTAATATTGTAATGTAACTAATTACTTTCAAAAGACAGTAACTAGTAATATATAATGTATTACATTTTGGAAGTAACTTGCCCAACACTGTTAGCAGGCGACACAATGGCACTATGGACACGGTCCGTGTCACTAGTTAAAATTGCTAATTTCTCTGGATTTAAACATTCTTCGAAACATTTGGGATAATGCAAGTACACAAGTCAGCAAAATATATAACACTGTTCTAGTGGTTTTTGGATATTTTAATAAAAAAATCTAACATATTCTGCCTTTAGGTTACTTTAGTGCACAAAGATCAAGGTACATAAATATAGAGATATATCTTACTGACATATCTGAGATATACTATCTACTGTATGCCTCTCTCTCTCTCTCTATATATATATATATATATATATATATATATATTTTAGCTATATAGTCCAGCCTGATTATAGCCCTATTCGCACGGGATTAGTATTACCTGGTGACCTCCAGTCATTTGTAATAATTGTGGAAGTTGTCTGTGATCTTAATCCCGTGCGAATCGGCCATGTCTGTAATTTGTAAAGTAAAAATTCCCCCGCAAATGACCTACCATATTTCGCCGAACACCGAGGTCCTGTGCTAATATTAGTCCCGTGCGAATCAGCGTCTCTGTGATTCGGCCAGCATTTGGCGGGTTGTATATCATTTTTTGAGGTTTTTGTTTGCTGCTCTTTTTATACCCAATTATGTTGCCAATTGACCTAATAAGTTGCAAATTGGTCCTCCAGCTGTTCCTTATATGTACATTTAACTTTTCCGGCCTCTTATTGCTACCTGTCCCAACTTTTTTGGAATGTGTAGCTCTCATGAAATCCAAAATGAGCCAATATTTGGCATGACATTTCAAAATGTCTCACTTTCAACATTTGATATGTTATCTATATTCTATTGTGAATAAAATATAAGTTTATAAGATTTGTAAATTATTCCATTCCTTTTTTACTCTCAATTTGTACAGGGTCCCAACTTTTTTGGAATTGGGTTTGTAAATCATATCAAGACTGAAGTCCCATTTCTAGTAGAGAAAAAGTTCTCTCACGTCATTCCCAATATGCGTGTGTAGAAATCCAGGGATTTAACCGGATCCTTAACCCGCAGCATCGTCTGCTGCATCATGAAGTCCTACAGCAGTGGCAAAAATAACTTTCGGTAAGAATAAAACTGATAAGGTGATGAAAAATGATAAACAGTGGCATCCAAAGGCCTGAGACCATAATGGAGGTGGTTTGTAACTCAAACTAACATTTGAGTTACATTATTAATAGAATTCAAGTTAAGCAATATTCTATATATTAGAAATATTCTAATAGCAATTATTAATTGTAATAATAATAAATCGTTATTAACAAATTTCAATCTAATATTTAATATCTAAATGTCATTCTGAAATCTCTAGCAGATCTGCTCTGAACTATGGATGTGCTGTAACAAATGATGATTATAATTTGATAACAGCACTCAGCTCTCTGATATAGATGTTATTTTACAGCATCTCTTCGGTTAAAATTGTGCAAATTATGTTAAGATTATTTATGACATGGCTTTTCCAAGAATGGACAAAAAATGTAAATATTTCCTAATATTACCAGGTTATCCATGATGAAAAGTTTGTTAGTGTTCTTATGGTGATATTTATATGTAGCCACTGCTCTGGCTGTGCCATTGGAGGAGCCACAGGTCAACATTTCATCTGTGTAAAATGTCAAAGGTCATTCTAGTAACTTCTATCCCTCAGCATTACATACAGAAAACAGAATCAAGTCTGTATTGATTTTCATATCCATATGACTCAGCAATACAGCACTTACCCATACAATCTCTACAAACTCAGCTGAGAAACTAACAGAGACCCAGAGATGCAGATAAACCACTGAGAAGTAACATCGATATCAAAGAGATGCTCTGAATCGCAAAGTTAGCCTGCAGTAGTTTAAAGGAGAACAGGGAAATGAGCGACGAGCTTCGTGTTTGATTGACAGGTCTCGCCCTAGTTCTGGACTCAAGTGCAGCGTCTTACTTTAGTGATGGGGTTCCCCTCTTTACACGCAGCGGCTGCTGCTTCATTCGTCAGCCCTTGGTCGGTCATTTTTAGATGTGTTTCGGCTTGACGGTCACTTGGCGGCTGATACTTCGGCGGAAAGATACCACGCAGGGGGCGTGGTCATTGCGCATAGCGTCAGGGGTCTGTGGGAGGGGCGATAAAATAACTGAGATGCTGTAATTTCACTTTCATTCCTGCAGAGGGCGAACAAGTGTTTCTCAGTGAGTGGGTGTTCTCTTCCTTTCAGATAAACGAAACAAAAGGGTTAAGAGAAACTCGTAAATGTCATCCTGTAAACACGTGACCACATCATGTGCTTTATACAAGCGGCAACCTCCCGTGAAGCCAACAAGGAAGTGACTTAAACTGTAATTCATCGACTGGCTGCAAAAGGGAGTCAATCCCATAGACCCCCCATGTTAAAATGCCCAACTTTACAGCAGAAAAAAACATGTTTACAGCCTGGTTTAAAACATTATTTTGGTCTATATAGCTAATTTTGCCCTTCATGACAACTGTGAGGGGGGGTGGATTTTTTTTATAACTCATCCGTTTAAATTATATTAAGCCTTAAAGTTCTGCATAATTAAGGGCGTGGCCACTTGAGTGACAGGTGGATTGCCGCTGCTGTCACCACCGTCGAGATAGGTGGGCGTGGGTTCAGCAACCTGCTCCCGCCTCTTTGCCCATTTTCGATTATCCGGGAGTGACGCGCGGTGACGCGCTGCCAAGATGGCGACGGCCGGCTCCGCCCACTTTTGAGTTTCAAAAACGCTCTTCGGAATCTACAGTCTGGTTTTATACAGTCTATTATTAATTAGACTATAATTAGAAATTATAGGTGCATTTGGCTGTGGGTGAAAACACGGTACATGTTTTGTGTGTGTGTGTGTGTGTGTGTGTGTGTAAACTGTTTAGTGTATGTGGAGAGTAAAGAATGAAGAAAAGTTTGATTGAAAAATATTTAAAAATCTGATAAAATGTATTGCAGTGATGCAGGTAGAAGAACCTGCTCATAAATGTAGATATTGTGTGAATTTGGTGTGTGTGTGCATCTAAATATATTTTAGAAATTGAATCATTAAATCATTCAAATACAGACATATTAAAATGTGCATCTATTCTACATTTAGTCTTGATACAATGAACCTTAAATTAAATAAATAAATGGACTTAAATGTCTAAGAGTGGTTTATTGCTTTAATAAATAACAAAGATGGCAAGGGGGGAAAAGCTAGCAATTAAGTTAATACAAATGCACATGGAATGTATATTAGAATATTTGCAAAACTGACGAGATAATGTGATTGTATATCACACAGCATGACACATAATAAATTAATAAATACACTTCTAATTGGATTGGATAAATGATAAACAAACAAACAAACCATTATAAGCCCTCCTAAGTTTACCAGAAATGTACACTTCTGGTTCATCCTCATCCACCTTAGTCTTCCTCAGAATCCCATAATAATCCATTGCCTAAAATGAAGTCATGCAATTGATAAAACTGTTTTCTATGACTCCCTTTGACTCTCTCAAGGCCTGTTAACCTTGAAAGCAGTTACACTTGAAACATCAGGTCTCGTATCATGCGAGCATTACTTCACTAAGTTATCTGCTGATGATGTCCTTGCTTAGCCCATAGCAGCACGGAGGAGGATGACAGGTTCGTCCTAATGAAACATTCCTGCATGTCTTACTTGGAAAAATAACTCCTTAATTATTGCTTTTCTGTGTGTCTTTTTATCTTACACCTTTAACCCTATAATTATTCAGGTAGCGTAGTCAAAACTAGCCTAAACCATATAGGCTACTAACTCGCCCACAGGTTGAAGTCCTTCAGGAATGACATATAAGACTTCCTTGTGGTTGTTCTTTTTTGAGGCTCAGTTTGTGGTTATAAGTAAAGTCTCAGAGACAATCGTGACAATAAAACCACTTATTTTATTGATTTCAATACAAAGCAGTTAATGCAAACCTCTGTTATCAATCTCTAAACAGCAATATCAGAGATTGCTTTAATCCTCAGACTTTTACTTGTTGGGGATTTCCAACACCATCATAAATTCCTCCTGTATGATTCAATCTTTCTGTTGCTTGAGTCTTCCAGTCTCTGTAACTCATGCTTAATAAGACAGACATCCTTCCTTTGTCACTTACAGGTGCATCTCAATAAATTAGAATGTCGTGGAAAAGTTCATTTATTTCAGTAATTCAACTCAAATTGTGAAACTTGTGTATTAAATAAATTCAATGCACACAGACTGAAGTAGTTTAAGTCTTTGGTTCTTATAATTGTGATGATTTTGGCTCACATTTAACAAAAACCCACCAATTCACTATCTCAACAAATTAGAATACTTCATAAGACCAATAAAAAACATTTTTAGTGAATTGTTGGCCTTCTGGAAAGTATGTTCATTTACTGTACATGTACTCAATACTTGGTAGGGGCTCCTTTTGCTTTAATTACTGCCTCAATTCGGCGTGGCATGGAGGTGATATGGAAGCCCAGGTTTCTTTGACAGTGGCCTTAAGCTCATCTGCATTTTTTGGTCTCGACACGAACACGCAGCTAATGAGAAAACTCATAAGCCACGTGTTCACACAAGACAACAAGAAAAGCACGCGGCTGAACACAAACCGCGTGCTTCACAAAACACACGTGGACAGAAGAGCGCACGGCCGAGCGAACTCGAGACCGCACGCTCCCACAACAGACAGAACATGGAGCGCGAGTGTCCGGGCCCCGACACGAACCCGAAACTCAAGACATGAGTGCCGGGATCTGAACACCACGCTCCAACATGAAACAGTACATGCAGACGAGAGCGCACGGCTCGAGCACACTCGAAGCCGCACGCTCACATGAAAACAATGACATGACGCGAGTGTCAGGGCTCTGTCACAAAACCATGAATTACACAAGACCGAAGTGACAGAACCCTGACATAAACTACTTCAATCTGTGTGCATTTAATTTATTTAATACACGAGTTTCACAATTTGAGTTGAATTACTGAAATAAAGGAACTTTTCCACGACATTCTAATTTATTGAGATGCACCTGTATGCTGCTGTCTTTTTCCAGCACTCCTCCTCCTCTTCACTGTCTTCAGCTGTCTCATCGCCGCTCGAGGTTGCAAAACTCTCTCTTCACCCGTGTACCCTCTTTGTGGTTGATTACAAAGCATGAAACTCTTTAACTTTCACAACTGTTGTTTTATGTTGCAAGAATTTCTCATAGCATTCAAGAATTTTAAACTCATGCGTCATATAGACTAAAAATGTAGTAACCATGATTTTTTTTGTATAATCACAGTTTTACTACAAATACCATGATTAAACTATGGTTAGTGTAGCAAAACTATAATCCAAAATCGGACATCGCTTGTTATGATTTTCAAGGGCATAGAATTTAGTAGGGACGCTATACATGTCCCTACCAATATCCATCGACTGCTAAATTGTCCCTAGCAATAATTTTGATCAAACAATTATATGTCTGTTGTTTGCCTTTATGTCACCACCAATGCCAAAATCAAACCTATACCCTTGAAAGAAGCCTGCGAGGAAAATAATGTAAGGACAATACATCAAAAGTTGAAAAGAAATTCACATTCTGCGAAAAAAAAATCTAACTAATTCATGGAAAAGGCCTATACTTGGCCTACAACTTTATTTTAGAAATTAAGCATGATTTATTTGGACTATGTATGCAACTGAGAAAAAAAACTATTAATAAAGGAATGTGAAGTCACGTGCATCGTCAATGCACGTGATATTAATCACATTATTTTTTGGCTGCGTGCAGTTTAAGATGCATATTCAAGGTGTATTTATAAGGGAAAGTCTTTCCACAGTCTGGACAGGAGAACGGCCTCTCTCCCGTGTGAATCCGCGAGTGTTTCTGCAGCGTCATGAGGCGGGAGAATCCACATCCACACATGGAGCAGCAGAAACGTTTTCCAGAGTGAGAATCCCTGTGGTGGCGATTCAGATTGGTCTGACTGAAAAACTTCTTATCGCAGTGCGCGCAGGTGAATGGCCTCTCGCCTCTGTGTTTATACTGATGACTCTGGAGCGAGGTGGAGCCAGGAAACTTCTTCCCACACTCACCGCAAACGTAGTTCTTCAAGTTCTTTCGTTTCTCACTAGTGTGTACGTTACTGTGCATTTTCAGCCAGTCAGCACAACGGAAACCCCTCCTGCAGAGATCGCAGATGAACGGCGCCTCGCCCGTGTGTATTCGCACGTGATGCACCAGATGTGTGTTGCGACCGAACTGCTTGCCGCACAGCTTGCATCTGAATTTTTTAACAGGAGACTGATAAATGGTGCTGTTCAGTATTAGGTTCCCTTGTTTTGATCACAGGCTTCATATCGATGCAATCAGGACACTAAGATAGAGTAACAGATTGACTTGAGAAGAAAAAAAACAGAATTATTCAGTTGTAACTCAAAGATGCTAGAATATAAATAAAACAAATTGAGAAGGAGAATTGTTTGTACAAGAGCCTTAAAGGGATAGTTCACCCAAAAATGAAAATTTGATGTTTATCTGCTTACCCCCAGGGCATCCAAGATTTAGGTGACTTTGTTTCTTCAGTAGAACAAAAATTATGATTTTTAACAGCAGCCGTTGCAGTCTATCAGTCGTATAATGCATGGCAATAGTAACAAAATCTATGAGAGTAAAAAAAAACATGCACAGACAAATCCAAATTAAACCCTGCGGCTCGTGACGACACATTGATGTCCTAAGACACGAAATGATCGGTTTGTGCCAGAAACCGATCAGGATTAATATAATTTTTTTGGGCGCGCGCACGGCACCCGGTGCGTGAGGTGTGTACACGCTCTGGCGTAGTTTCCGCAAGCGCCGGAAGTGATCTCTCACACGTATACGCCACTCATTGTTTACACAGTGCACAGTTATTGTAGGTACGGCGGCTAATCAAAATGGTACTTACTTGCACTTATCTGGATTGTTCAAACCGACTTAAAACTAAAAGATTACGTTCTCTCGCGCGAACTCATTCGGGAGTGGTGACTTTCCACATATTCCCAACTTCTGAGCCTGCTCGCCTGAAGTTATAGTTGATTGCTCTTCGGCTGGATATCA